AGTCGATGAACCAGAAGATGTGTTGGACGAAAAAGAACTACCACCAGTCAGTGCTGGATCGGCTGTAGGTGCCGGTGCAGGTGTCCTTTTCCCAGGCCTAGTGCCCAAGACTGTCGCTTTGCTTGAGGGGCGATTCAGCAGCCGGTCATTCGTTAATCAATATGGACCAGATCACAGCCCGTGGTTCGTTGTCGACAAACAGTTTTATGGTTCCGAGCAGTATACTGAAAATCCTCGTGATGACAGTATCAATGACGGGCAGATACAATGCCTTGATCGAGAGAAGTATCGTGTCTTGGATAAGCCCTTGAACGTAGGAGAGCCAGCTACCAAGCTCCATGAGGTTCAAGGCATCTGTGCAGTCGTATGCCAGCTTCCTCTCGAGACTCAGGCCAATCCAATGCAAATGGCAAAGTCTCTGGATCCTGATGTCGTCAAGATGACATCCAAGTACCCGGATTTTAGAGCACGCCAGAAAGCCGTTCGTAACAAGGAAGTATCGCTTGGTAAGTATCCTACGACTTACGTGCTAGCACAGTTCAAGCAACCAGTGCTCCAAGAGAACAAAGTGAACAAGACAAGAAGTTGGGAAAGCAGCTCTAAATACCGCGCCCTTCATGGTGTTAGTCAAGTTTCGGCCGAGAAAGCTATTTACAGTTGTGTCTCAAGTCGAGCCGAGCGCTTTCTGAAGTGGTATCGTATGAGGCATCCAAACGAATTTGCATTGCACGAAGAGGCTAGTCGACTGAGCCCGATGAGAGAGTCACCAGCAAAGTCCTTGTCACCCGTGCCTCAAACTGAAATAGTTCAAAGCATCGAGCGATCACCACCGCCTACATCATCTGCCACCAAGCAATCACTATCGTCGAAGACAAAAGTTCAAGAGGTTGCCAAAACGGAAGGAAGACCAAGCCCAAGCCCAAGTCCAGACCCTTCGGAAGATGATGACGACGAGCCTCTTACAGAGGAAGAGTATCGGCAAGAGGTTGAATTAGCCTGGAGAATGCATAATAATGTCAACACCCAGGGCGATCTAAATACCAAGCAGAAAAGAAAATTCGATACTTTTTATGCCATAATGGCGCAGCTTAGAGGCAGTAAGCAGTGATTGAAGTCTGCCTAGAACTTGAGTACGTATGCGTATATACCGCTCCTTTAAGAATAGATTTGTCACTCTTTTACGATTGTGTACGAAAAGATGTATCTTGCAGAAATACCT